TTTGTCTCGTGCATCGCACGGGGTATGTACTAGTTGCAATTAAAAATTATAATCTTTTATGAAAAATAAATTTAAGAACGAAAAATCACTTGGATGGGATGAATAAATTATAAAACAAATGTTAAATATACAACTTTTTTGAATTATAAATTATGTTTTTCACAAATTACAATTCATTAATGGCATGATTGGTATGATGCAATGGAATTTCGTAGGAATGGAATGAATTGAAGAATGAAATAATTATGGGAATGGAATGAAACATGTTTTGTCATTGATGCGTTTGGAATGCAAAAGGACTATGACTGGAATGAAATGACATTATCATTTTTTTAATAAAAATAAATAAAAGTTTTTTTTAAAAAATAATATACTTTTAATAAATTATATATAAATATTTTTTAATAATATATAAAAATAAAATAGTATATTTTTAATAATATATAAAAATAGAATAATATATTGTTTAATAATATAAAAAATAATATATTCTTAAAAAGTAATATATTTTTAATATATAAAAAGTAATATATTTTTAATAATATATATTTTATTTTTTAATTAAACAATAAATAAAAGTAAGTTTTCAATTTTTTATTTGAATTTTATTTTTTAAAATAATATATTTTTAATAATATTTAAAAATAAAGTAATATAATTTTAATAATATATATTTTTAATATTTTTCAATAATATATTTTTAATAATATATTTTTAAAAGTAATATATTTTTAATATATAAAAAATAATATATTTTTAATAATATATAAAAATAAAATAATATATTTTTAAATTATATATAAATACTTTTTTTAGTTTTATTTTTATATAAGTATTTAATATATCTAATTAAAAAATAAATAAAAGTAAGTTTTCAATTTTTTTATTTGTATTTTTTTTAAAAAAATAATTTTATTTAATATATTTTAATCATGATTTATAATATATATTATATATTTATTTTTTAATTTTATTTTTTAAAAAATTGATTCCTACACAAATGAGAATGAGAAAACCTTCTATTTACTATGAAATGGTGGGTTTTGCCACTCCCATTGGAATGGTCATTTTTTCCCAAAAAATATACCAATCATGAGATATAGAATGAGTAAGGGAATGATCATTCCATTCCTATGTCATTTCTTTCTACCAATCATGCCATAAATGTTATAACTAATTTGAGATATATACTTGCATATCAAAATACTAAGAAAAAAAGGTTATGTATCTGTCAAGTACAAAGTCTTTATATTATATTAATGCTTAAAAGTACATAAAATAAAATATTTGAAAAAGGAAAAATAAAGAGCTCTTAGTAATTTATAATATTTTATATTAACTAATGAAAAATGAATGTGAAAGTGGGTGAGATATAAGCGGTATGGAGTATGGTGGTTGGTTAATCTGCATTAAAAAGATTTGGTGGTTTACACCACACAGTTACTTCATCCAATCTAAAGGCTTGTATTAATTTTTAACATTTAATGGTTGAAATTAAATTAACGGAATGGTGCCTGCACGACACTGTAGCCGGCCCCCAAAAAAAGTTCGCGGGTATCTATCTATACTAGGCCATATCATAAAATATTGGTGGGCTGTTGTCTCAGTTTGCACAAAATGTAAAGTCGTGAGTTAAATTGTAAAAATTAAAATAATTTTTGTTAAGTTGCAGTTGAAGTAAAGATCTGTTTTATTTTGTTTTTAGTTATGCCTCAAAGTAATAATGAACAAATTATAAATAGATTGAAATAAAACAAATAAATAAAAGAAATTAAGGAAGTTGACCGTATGCTTAATAGTTATTTTTAAACAGATTGTTTATAATATTTATATCAAAATAGCATAATAATTATACCATGGATAAATATATTTAGCAGAGTCCTTGTCCAATAATCCTTTAATAAAGAGCGATAAATTATACTCCTACATAGATATATCACTTCCTCACGCAAGAAAAAACTNAAAACGGAAAATTCCTTATCTCTGTTAATTTAAATTCGCTGAACAATTGAACAGGGACACCATCTCATGAAGCGGACGTACGTACGCAAGACTTGCTGAAATCATTAAATTACATGAACTTTGATCCTATCACTTCAAAAAGTTTAATATAGTCCAACCAAAAAACATTTAAATAAAAGTTTCAAGGAAATTTCATTGAAGATCACTACAAGAATGTGATGAAATTCCAATAAAGAATTTCAACGGAAATCTATTCTAATGGAGTTTCAACGAAAATTTCAATGGATATTCTAATGTTATTATTTCAACAGAAATTGTATATTCCAATGGAAATTCCAACGGTAAAAACCGTTGGAATAATGACCGTTAGATTGATAAAATTCCATCTAAATTCTAATGAAAAACTCATATTCCAACGAAATAATTTCATTGGAATCATTCCAATGGAAGCTATACTATTGGAATATGCGTTAGAATTTTTATTGGAATATATTAGTATAGAATTTTTCATTAGAATATGACATTTGTTTTGTAGTGGTTCTTGTTGGAAGTTGATGATTCAATAAAAAAAAATAAAAAATAAAAATCAATGGCTTATTGTTGTAGGATTTTTCATTAGAATAGTTTTTGTTCTGACAATGAATCATCCCTTAAAAAAATTAAAAAAAAAAACTATTCTTGTAATTGTTAAATGTTGAATAGAAATTCTAATGAAATGTTTTATTGTTGGATTATTTTAGTAAAATTGGACTATCTATATATTGAACTTGTTGAAATTCTACTGAAATATATGATCGGTGAAATTTTGTGTTGGAATTTTGATCATTTTCTAACCATGTAGTATATTACTAACACTATTTTCTTTAAAGTCTCTTTTTTATAAAATATTTTAAAATGTGATCTTCTTCAGTCTATTCATTCTTTTGACCACTTTATTGACTCTTTTAGGAGAAAATGATAAGATGGAAAGCAGCTGACATAGTATGGAGCTATAATTGTTTCATATATTTGTATACAATGTCAGAATACTTCATCATGCAAACGTAAAACAAAAGAGTAATTCACAGGTGAAAAGAAATGTAATTACAAATTTTAAATAAATACATCTCATTTCCTTATGCATGTATTTTTTTATTGGAGTGCCCTATCTGATTGCATTGGTATATTATTTTCATATGTCCATTTCGATAAAGAGGATATATCATATACGTGAAGTATTCTGTTTTGATTTATTAATTGTAAAATGAAGTGTGGGGAATTAGCTTGGCCACTAATAATATACAAATTCTTGGGAAATTCATGCTAAATATAATCTATTAATTGTAAAATGAAGTGAAAATATTCAAATTGAATTCTACTAACACTTGAGCAGTATGTGGACAGTTCACTATCAGTAAGATGATTCAATTAATAGCTGCAAACCAAAAATATATTATATATATATATATATATATATATATATATATATAT